CAATATCTTAGCAAATAGAAAAGATAAGACTTTCTTATTTTATATTATAGCTTGTCAATATCAGTAATTTGAGTTTCTAATTTGTTAGATACTATAGACTTAGTTTTTTGACTTCACAAACATGTAACTTGAACCAGTGCTGCATTCAACATACCACGTGACACACAAAATCAATGTTTATCAGTATTTTTTAATATTTGCTTTTAAATTAAGAAATTGAGTAATATATAGTACTAAAATCGGAATTATAGTTTACAGCTTGATACCAAACTTATTGACATAAATTCATGAAATAGTAGTTCAATAAAATTTTGAATCCGAGTCAACAAACAAGATGACATGGCCTTTCACCCATGACCAGTCTTGAAAGGGTTAACCTGTGTCTAACTAACTATCCTGCAATACAAGCTGTAAATTACAAACACATAACTTAAGTTACTATATTGAATGACATAACACATGAGCTACTCACAAGCATACCTTGTGGAGAAGTATTCTTTTTATTATTATTTTTTATTATATTATCTAAAATTAGCTATCCTAATAAATTTCTAATTTTAACAGTTACCTTTATAACAATAAGTAAAAAACAAGAAATTTACTACTTAAACTTCACTTCTTGTTTGTTTGTTATTGTTTTTTTGCTGTTAGCCTACTGATGAAATTTAAGCTCAACTTTTTTGTAATGATAATATTAATATATTAGATAATTTTTATTTATTTGAAGAATGCATATTAGAACACAGAATAATAACACACACAAAGCAAACAATGTCCTATAACTATTATAATTCAACTAGCTCTCTAACTCAGGCATAAATGCTATAAACTCACCTTGCCATTAACTAGCTACATTCATGGTACCTATCTTATCTCTACTATGAGGAAATACCAAACGTCACATTCACAACTTCGACAGATTTCATAGAGCAAATCAGAAAGCTACACATCAGATCCCAGGATATTCTGGTCAGTTATGACATCACAGACCCATTTACCAATGTTCCAATCTCAAAAACTCTTCATATCACTAGACAACGACTACTGAATGACAACTTTCTACCACACAAAACTGATATGAAGATAGATGCCATCGTGGAACTAAGGACTATTTGCTTACAATCAACTTCTTTCTAATACAAAGAGGAATTCTACAAACAAACAGATTGTCTAGCCATGGGATCACCACTCTCTCCAATCCTAGCAGATATTTCTATGGAAGACTGAAGAAAGAGCCTTCTTAACCACATATATAAAACCAAGTTTCTATAGACATTATGTTGACGACACCTTTGTTATCTGGCCACATGGTCATGAAAACTGACCAGCTTTCCTACAACATCTTAATTCTATAGACAAAAGAATCCACTTCACCGTGGAAATCGAGGAACAAAACAACCTACCATTTCTTGACATATTCATCAGTAGACAAGAGAGAAAAATCATCACAACTGTATAGAGAAAACCCACCCACATGAATAGATACCTACACTTCTAGTCCTATCACCCAAACTCAGTAAAATGTGGTATAATCCAAGACTAAACAAGAGATCAGAAAACATTTGTGATAAGACATCCATCAAAACAGAATGCCAAAAGATCGTAGAGTGCTTCAAACAGAATGGTTACACCTTCTCCTTTGTCAAAAACTCCTTGAAGAAGACCACAACAGAAAGAAAAGATAAGGAAAAAACTACACGTGAGGGACGCTTAATGCTGCAATTTGTACTGTCTGACATCAGTAAAATGTGTGTATGCCATGAATCACAAGAAGATTTATGCACTCATCATGCTACAAAACAGCATGAATATGAACTTTGAAAGTAAGAAATAAAAATATTTGTTGCTCATAATTTTGGTTTTATTTACTATTGAAACAGAATACTTTCAGGGACCCTGCAGAAATAGATCTAGTTTTATTTTACATTTTATTTTATTTTACATTTATATATTCTTTTGTATGAGTTCAACCTCAGGCAATAGTGTTCTCCAGTAAGCCTTATTGTGGTCATTTTCACTTAATGTGAATGGATATTATTTGCTTTATATCCATTGGCATCTTTAAATAAACCAATAACAATTTAATGTTCATACACTTAACAATCAAAAACAAAGTTCTCCATTTTTAGCTGCCAGAAACCTTACATATGATATTAACACAATCTTTGGTGCAGCCATGTACTTAACACCATATGTGAATCATCTAACAACAATTAATATTGTGAAAACATGCCTACATAAAGATTTAAATGTTTTGCTTCGTATTGAATTAACCTTAATTTTTTCATAAGATAATGCTGATTTAGTTTCACAACATTCATTGGTTTATTGACAGTTATCATTATTGTTGGGATGTGTTTGACTAGTTATATATTTAATTATTATAAAAGAATAATATTACCAATAAGTTAATCTCTCAAAGAAACTATACCATCCTTATTTCAGTTGCTCACATTATTGAAACTGAGATAATCATAGACCTGAAACCACATGAGATTCAAACAGTGGCAACAAATATCATATATGACATTGAAACATTGGACAAGGATGTTACTGTTTAAACATTTTCTTTATTCTGTTCATTTGAGCTGTAGACATTTTTCACAGTAACCTGTCACCTCAGTTTTTGGAATGTAGTTTTGTAATGTTATGTATGGGGAAAACAAATATAGTCCAAGTCTAACAGAGCCATATAATATTTTCTTTTAAGATTATTAAATATCATAATGATGCTGTAAGCTATTTCTTCACAACCTGTTAAAGTAGGCTAGTTGATCATAGATGTTGTGGAAACAACTTGTAATGTGTGTGGGCATAAGTTTGTATTTTGCAATTATGTAAGCATATTGCACCAAGATCTCCAGTGGTTTGAAAAGATTAGTATGATTACTAATGTATTTTGCTACTAATTGGTAAAACTTTAATATCATACAGTTTTCTTTACTGAATGTATTAAACTCTGTCATGATTAATTACTAATAATAATATGGCTGTAATTATGCATGTAATTTATGGCCAATCACTTACCTCAACCAAAAATATGTTACTTTATGCAATGGGTTTATGAAACATGTTCTTTTTATTTTTACGATATGAGAAGTTACTTCAGTTTATATGTTTTACTTGATTTAGATTCAAGTCAGAAAACTTATTTTTTGTAGATTTTGTGAAATTCGTCCATATTGCACATCCACTTTTATATCGGTGATTGGCTTAATAACAGAATTACACAATTGAGATTAGTGCAGGTGCATATCTAAGAAAATCTATTTTCAGCATCTAACCCTGTAAAATATATATATAACCTTTAATAGTCTCTCCTTTTATAATGTAAACATGGTTTTATCAGTCTCGGTTTTATTGCCTCCTTGATGAACAGGTCAGATGAATTGAACTTAGTTTCTAAATTCTAGCTTTAGTACATAAATTTGAAGTTTATTTTTAGCAAGTATTATTTCATTTCTAGTCAAGAGGAGAACTTTGCAATTATTTTTTTACCAGTCCTTCATACATTGGGATCAGATACTCTCTAAATCTAAGTTTTGCTGATGTATTTTTTTAGTTTTATTTCTCATTAGTAAACCCATCTTCTATGTATTAAAGAGGATGATATGTCGAGTGCTTTTGATCTTTTTTCCACATGGTGTTTTCATGTAATAATATTATTATATTACAGTGTTTTGCATTCATATGATTTTTTACTTTACTCTTAGTCCAGCATTAAAGTCTTTTTGTATACTCTTTTTCTTGAAGAAATTTGGGCTGTTGACACTGTATTGGTCGCCTTTTGGCTAATCTCTGCTAAGTCAACTGATACTATATGTGCCTCATTTATTTAGAAAAATTGTCTTTTACACTTTCTTGCTTTTAAAATATCTTGGAAGGTGTGTTGCACCTTAGTTTCTAGATTTCAAATATTGGATTAAATGTTCCCTGCCCATTGGTAGCTATTACCATTTTTGCATTATCATTCATAGAAACTAATAACTCATAAACATCACCATATCTGAAATGCAGATACTTTAAACGTAAACCATAATAACCTTTAAATGTCTATGAACTTGAATTATATATATATGTTTTTGTTTTTTAAATAAATTTACAATATACTACATAATTATATACCATGCCATTACACAATATACCAGCAGACATTGGCCTGAAAACCAGGTTTTATCCATTTTTATTAATAATAATAGTCTCAGACTAAATGATGTCACGCACTAGCTTGCTTTGTTCCAAAAAAATTGTAAGTATACTATCTTCTATCTCATTAAGGATACTGTAAGTTGATAGTATTTTGTATGTGCAACATCTTACTTATCTTCATATTTGTATCCTTTCTAGACATTATGTACAGCTATTTCAAACAGAGCACTGCCTATGAATAACACCAGAGTAATTACTTCAACAAAATAAACAAATAAGAAAAGAAACCATTAAATTTAATCCGTTTCTTCCACATAACAAAAAAAGCAATGATATAGTTGGATTATTTTAAAGCATGTGATTAAGAAAAGCTTCTGATATAATAACCAAAAGTTTAACAATTCACTAGGTATATAATCAAAGGGATAGCTATAGCAAAAAAGCTTCGAAGAAAGAAAGTAGCCACCTCAACTATCAGACAATGTATATTTATAATTTTGTTAATTATAGAAGTTTGGAAATTATAATATAAATGCAGTTATTTGAAATTTACAGCTTCTTACACCACAAATATCCAAAATTCATCATTTTCAAACAATCTGAGTCAGAAATAAGTACAAAGACCATAGATTTATAGTTGTGTTTCTTATGTTTACAAGTTTTATCTATGCAAATGCAAACCTTAGATATTTCTACTCCTCAAATAAAATTAAAATTAGGGCTAGCAAATTTTGATTTACTTATGATTGTTACTTTATTCAAAACAAATGTTAATAACATTTCTTTAGAAGCAATATTCTGAATCTGAACATTTCAGTTACAGTATTGTTTTATAGGTGATTTGAAAGTGGTGGAGGGGGGGGGGTCAAAAACTTAATATTGTTTTGTGCCCTTGTAACAAAATGAGATTCTGGCCTGGAAGAAGCTAAAAGACTTCCCATGGAAAAAGTGTTATGCTCATGGCTTTCATCCTGTGTTTGAAGTTAAGCACTAGGCTGTTTTCTACAGAAGGCTTTTAAACTTGCTATCATTTGACATTAGTCCTACATTTTGTGTTGAACAGTGAATATGTAGAGAAAGATTAATAAAAACAACTAGAATGTCTATATCTTGGCCAGAAAAACAACTAACTTTAACTGTTATGGTATAGGCAAGTGTCTGTTTGAATTTCATTTAAAAATTAATTTGCCTAATTTCGTAGCCTCAACCACACATTTTTTGTCAATGTTAAACTGTTA